TGTTGTGAGAAGTCACTCCATTTAAATCCAGCCCTTCGCTACGTTGCTTGTTTGAGGCAAGTGTCTCCACACCCCCTCAGCATTACCTCCAATTTAGAATTAGAGTGGGAGGAACAACCAAAAGACAGTAAGATGTCCTAAAACACCACGTCCGCATTTATGGTCGCCTGACAAAGCTGCTTTTAGTGTCAGAGTGAAAGTGATTATGACTTGTGGCAGGTCGGGGAGGGGCAAGATGGTCCTGGAGACTGGAACAGTTTAGAGGGATTCCCTACAGCTTGTCCCCTGCTCTGGGCATAGGGATTTCTCACAAAAAGAACAAGAGTAAAACCAACTTCCAACCACTCATTCATGGAGCGGTAGTCACTAGGCCTATTCCTTTCACCATCCTGTTGCTGCTGTTTGTAATCATTGCTGTATGTTTTTATCTTATGCACTAGTTTTATACTTTATTAACTACAGAACACAGTGTGTAAATATTCCCTGCAAGTTGACTTGCAGCTTGCTTTCTCTATTGTCTAAGGGGTCGATGCCCTCAATTATTACGTAAATGCAGGAGAAAACTCTCGATCTTTTTTTTTTTAAAGCATTCAACACTATAAACACCTGCACATTGGATTCCTGACTCTCTCCTTGCTCTTCTCATACTTTTTTGACTGCTTTCTTGTGTTCTTTCTATAGACCTTCTTTTGTTTGTTTCCTTAATTTATTTTTATTGCATTTTTCCATTTTGTTTTTTTCAATTTTGTTATTAAACTTTAATTTTCAGAGCAGTTTCAGGTTCACAGCAGAATTTAGCAGAAGGTAAAGATTTCCCATGTTCTCCCTGCCTCCAAGGATGCATAGTCTCCCCTATTATCAATTTTACTCACCAGAGTGGTACATTTATTACAAGTGATAAACCTACATTGGCATATCATTACCAAGAGTCCTTAGTTTATCTTCGAGTTCACTCCTGGTTTTACATATTCTATGGGTGTGGACAAATGTATGATAGCATACATCCACCTCTGTAGTGCCATGCAAAATAGTTTCTCTGTCCTAAAAAGCCTCTCTGCTTTGCTTATTCACCCTTCCCTCTCCCCTGTCCCCTGGCAACCACTGATCTTTGTACTGCCTCTGGCATTTTGAGTTTTCTAGGATGTCTTATAGTTGGAATCATATCATATATATCCTTTTTGGATTGGTTTCTTTCATTTAGTAATATGCCTTTAAGTTTCCTTCATGCCTTTTCTTGGCTTGATAGCTCATTTCTCTTTAGCTCTAAATATTAGTCCATTATCCAGATGAACAGGTTATCCACTGATCTACTGAAGGATATCTTGGTTGGTTCCACATCTTAGCAACTAAGAATAAAGCTACTCTAAACATTTGTGTGTGGGTTTTTGTACGGACATAAATTTTCAACTCTTTCAGGTAAATACCAAGGAGTGTGATTGCTGGATTGTGTGGTAAGAGTATGTTTAGTTTTCTAAGAACCTACCAAACTGTCTTTCAAAGTGGTGTACCATTTTGCATTCCCAATAGCAATGAATGAGAATTCCTTTTGCTCCACATTCTTGTTAGCATTTGGTGTTGTCAGTGTTCTATATTTTGGCCATTCAAGTAGGTGTGTAGTGATATCTTAAAGTTGTTTTAACTTACTTTTCCCTGATGACATATGATATGAAGCATATTTTCATATGCTTATTTGCCATCTTCTTTGGTGAGGTGTCTGTTAAGGTCTTTGGCCCACGTTTTAATCAGGTTATTTGTTTTCTTATTGTTGAATTTTAAAAGTTCTTTGTATATTTTGGGTAACAGTCCTTTATCAGATAAGAGTTTTGCAAATACTTTCTCCCAGTCTATGCCTTGTCTTCTAATTCCCTGCAAATTGTCCTTTGCAGAGCAGTTTTTAATTACAGTGTACTCAAGGGGGATGGGAAGATGAGCGGGAAAGGTAAAGGGGATTAGGAAGTACAAACTTTCAACTATAAAAAATAGTCATGGGATATAAAGTACAGCATAGGGTATATAACCAATAATACTGTAATAACTATGTATGGTGCTAAGGGGTATTAGACTTAAAGTGATGATCACTTTCTAAGGTATATAAGTGTCTAATCACTATGTTGTACATGTGAAACCAATACAATGTTGTATGTCAGCTATAATTTAAAAATAAATTTTAAAAGATAAATAAAAATTAAAAGTTGTCACCAAACTCAAGGTCATCTTGATTTTCTCCTCTGTTACCTTCTAAGAGTTTTATAGCTCTGGGTCGGTGATCCATTTTGAGTTAATTTCTGTGAAGAGTGGAAGGATTGCGTCTAGATTCATTTTTTTGTTTTTTGTTTTGGCATGGGTCTTTTTCCTACCTCTTACTGCACTTATTTTCTTAGCTTTGTCTCTAGAAAAATATTCACTTTTTCCCTGATGGCCCTCATTCATTCGCTCTTCTTCCTCTCTTCTAGAAAGGTCCTCAAGTACCAAGTCCATAGACTAGCTGCATCAGAATCAGCCAAGGTGCTTATTACAAATACAGCTTCAGAGGTGCCCCTGAGATTGAAACTTCTGGGACTCAGAATTTTAACACAATTTTAAGCAGAGAATCATGTTTAAAGATTCTAGGGGATTCTGAGGAGCAGACAACCTTGGTGATCACTGTTCTAGGAGATGCTGATGACATTTACACTTATTTCTTTAGTCAATCCTAAGGGTTTCCTGAGCTTCATCAGAAGTATGCCTCCTTATCCTTGACCTTGAACAAGCCATTGTTACCAGACGAAAGGGGTCCATTTACCTGCATGCATCAAAGCCCAATAAGACATGAACATGAGTTTGCAGCCAAGAAAGTGAGAATTTATTAAGGAGATGGCACCAAGCCCAGAGTCACAGGTGAGCTACTGCCCAAAGACCTGGCTCCCCACTGGCTTCCAGGGGATGGATTCTATAGGGGAAAACCATTTATCATGGTGACTAACAGGGTGGTGCTCTCTACTGATTGGTTGGTGCTAGGGTAGGGGGGTAATTGATCATTGCATCTGGTCCTGATGTCAGCCATGGAATGGTTCCACCCAACCTCTCGAGAATCTGTTTTGTCCAGTTGTCCTGCTTTCCTCGGTCTAAAGCTAAAACCTGAGGCCCAGACACTATATTTAGTTTGATTGAAAACTCTGTCTCAATAGTCAATAGATCGAGGACTTTGTTTCTAAGACTCCTGGAGGCTGACCAAAACCTCGTGGTCCTAAGGGCTTAACCAAGGCAGAGAGAGGTGGGTGGGTCAGGGCATTGGATAAGGCCAGTTTTAATCAAAGGGAAAAAAATCAAACTAAAAGGCCAGATTAAAGAAAATAAGGTTTCTGTACGGTTACACCATTTATCATCTCTCAGCCAAGTTTTTCTCGTCTGTCAAGTAAGAATAACATTTTCTCCCTTCCTGAGTTGTTGGGGGATTAGATATCACACTATTCTGACTCCACCATTGACGAAGCACTCAGTAACAAATAACAAATCGCTGTTTTCATCTTCTCTCCACCCATAACACTTAGCGTATGGTATTAGAGGCCTTTCCAGATGGGACTCTCTCTTTCCTCAAGACTGTGAGCTTGTTAGCAGCAAAGAAACGGTATTGTTCATCACTGTCCACCAGCTTCCAGCACATTGTAGCTATTTGACAAATGCCTTGACTGGGTGACAAATAAATAACTGAGTTAGTCAGTTATTTACAAAGGCTGTCACAGGATATTTTTAAAATATGTCTTTCTGTGTGTGTGTCTTTCGGAAGAAACAAAAGAGACATATAGTTGTGGCAAGAAGAAGAAGAGGATGCCAACAACTTTTCTTGAAAAGCATAGGATCTCTCCGATTATGGCCCAGAAAAATGGGAGTAGGTGTGTTGTTAAATCTGTGCCCCTTCTCCTTACTTTCCTGCAGCATGACCTCTAACATATTTGCCATTTTGACCTTCCTTTCTGCATACTAAGCTTCACTCACTGTCACCAAGGAAATAGAAGAGATGCTTCATTACTCACAGCTATGCACTTCTAAACTCCAGGCACCTTTGTGCAGTGAGCTAGCTAAAGTCCGTATGTGCACACCATTAAATCAACTGTCTTCTATACAGAACTTTATTCATTTTTCTACCTTTGAAGAAAAAAAAGACGATGTCTAACAATTTCTTTTCTCGGTCATGGCCTCTTCCCAGACCTGTCAACAATCTTAAATGCACCAGACGTGTTTGGTCCCTAGGAGCAAATATAAAAATTGCCTGTTTAGCCTCTGTGGTGTGGGCAATATAAGTGTGGGTCAATTTTAAAGCAACAGAACATGCATAATGGGTTTCCCGTTTAAAAATACAGTAGGCCAAAAATAAACCTGACAAAGGGCAGCTGTAGAGTTTTAACATGTGGAAAACAGGCGGCAGTTATGTAACTAGAAAGAAACATGATAAATATTTCATACTGTTAGATGAACTTCCAACTTCGATGCGTGAAAAGCAGAGGACACAGAACTCAACTTAACTCTCCAAGAGCAAAATGCTTACACTGAAAAGGGCTCAAGGCTATTGCTAAAGTCTGATGCCTGCCTTCCAGCACGAATCTTGATTTTTTTTTTTTTTTTACCCTCGTGTCCAAGGCGACGCCGGAGAACCCCATCTCCCAGGAGCGCCTCCTCGGCTGCTTCGCTCCACGCCAGAGAATTTCCAAAAAATCTGTACCTCTAGGCTGCAAACCCAAAAAGTTCTGGGCCAAGGAGGGCAAGAGAGGAGTTGTAGCGAAGCCGGTGCGCCCCACCCCGCCCCCAGGGCCCGTGGCTCCCGCCCTCGGGACAGCTGGCAGCCCCGCGCAGGACCAGACACAAAGCCGATCAATCCCCGCGGCGCGGGGGTGGGGGACGACCCACCAGGGCTTCCCTTCCACTCCTCGCCTCCTCCTGCCCCTCGGTAGGACCCAGCCGACACCTCGTCCGGCTTCCACGGCCCGCCCCCTCTGACCGCCCTCCCCACCCCCCCACCAAGAAAGAAAGGCCCAGAGCCCCCATCCCGGGGCTAGGGAAGACCAGCCAGCGGAGAAAGCGCCCCAGGCAGGGAGAAACTGACAACGTCCCTGGGTCTGTCCCTCCCCTGCCACTGCTCCATTATCTATCCTCCACCACCAGCCCCCGTCCCAGGAGTTGGGGGGGAAGGGGGGCCCTCTCGGCCTCCTGCGCTCCCTCCGGCCGCCTGGACCTCAGCCTCCGCGGAGCGGCCACCTCGGACCGGGAAGATGGCGAGAAGGAGCGGCCCCCGCCTGCTCCTGCTGCTGCTGCGCTACCTCGTTGTCGCCCTAGGCTGTAAGTTGCTCGGGTACCTCCACTCTCCCGCCCGCTCTTGCCGGGACCAAGTCCCCCAACCCCCCAGCGCCGGACGCGGCGCTCGCGCTGGGCGGTCTGCGGCTCAGGGTGGAGGGTCCGCCGCAGGGCAGCGGGCTGGGCGCCCCGCGGGCGGGGAAGCGGCGGTGTGGGGGCGCGCGCGGGGTCCCGAAGGCTTCCGTTTAGGGTCGGTAGCATCTGATTTGGTCAGTTCTAGTTAGGGAACAGTAGGTGTCCACACCAGTAGGTTCCTATCGTTTTGGAAAAGTTGGGTTAAGTTTCCAAAGACACAGGCGACGTGATCTGAAGGCAAATCTCACTAACTACTTAAAGATGCTAAGATCCCAAGATGGCATCACTTGGAGGCAGGCGCCGGCCACACAAAGTGCGGGAGGAGGGGGCAGTGTTACAATTCCCGGAGCTTCTGCGGGCCCCCGGCGTGCACGCCGGGAGTGAGCCGTGCGCTTGTGGGGCTGGGGTGCGGGAAATTCGGCTGCTGAGCCAGAATCGCTTGTATCCTCTCCACGTGCACATCTCCGTTAGTTCAGGTCTGGTCGGGGGACCCTCGCCCAGCTGCCTTGCCCTCAAGGGGACGCCCAAGCGGACGATTGTTAGAAAGATGCAGATGCTGAATGACTGAGTAGCGGGTAGAAGGCAGGAACGTGTCCCAAAGCCACTTTCACAGGATGATTCTAAACAGGATTTTCAAGGATTCGGGGCTTCTTAGATTTAAAATCCTGGGACCGCTTCTTGTTTAGGAAGTTACAGTGGATCTTAAGCACTTAGGCAATGAAGTTCTTTTTCTTTTGTTTTTACTTTTGGTCGTCTTTCTTTCTTTTTTCTCTCCTTTATTTCTTTTTCTTTTTCTTTTTCTTTTTCTTTTTTTTTTAAATAGAGTGAGTTGTTGTTATTCAAGTTCTGGCAATTTAACAGTTAAAATAACCTGCCCGATTTGCGCCTAACACCGTAATACAATGACTTTTTCTCGCGCTCTCGATGATGCCGCAGTGAGTGTTGCTCAGCTCAACGTGGTGCGAGCTTCGTCCCTTAGGGAGGGAGGAAGGTGCAGGTTGTCTCAGTGGGGGGCACATGCGGACCTATATAGTAGAAAATCAAACCGGGAAGGCAAGGCTTCACAATCAAACCGTTATACAGTTTTGAAATATCAATTGATGGCACGTTGAGCACACAGAGAAACAAAATGCGCGAATGCTGAAAGGCAACAAAGAGGCGGGCTGGAGGAAATGTAACAAAACTGCCGAGAAAGTTTATGTGTCTGTTGACCATCCCACATGTTAGAGAAAAAAGATTGTGACTTGAGTGTAGAATTGTCACTAGTTAAAAACAGGGAAAAGCATTTTACTCTGCTCTTCGTATTCAGTAATTGGAATAGAAACAATATACCCTAAGTTCGAAATGTAGCCAAGAAACAACCGGCACTGGCTCGGAGGGATGGGCAGAATAGCTTCTTCCTCTGGCTTTGGGTAAATCTAACACTTGGGCTCTTCTAACTCTGACTCTTATAGGGAATTAATGTGAAATGTGTGGGGATCTTTTTTATATTGTTCCTTGGATGCCAAAAGGTCTAGCATTGCAAGAATGTTTTTTCCTTTGTCTTTTTTTAAATAAACATTTTTATTTAATAACAGTTTAGGTTTAAAGAAAAATTGCTAAGGTAGTAGTGAGAATTCATATTATACGACACCCACTTTTTCTTATTATTAACACTTTTATGATATACTTGTTACAATTAGTGAACCAATATTACTATATTATTACTGAAGTCCTCGCCTTACTCAGATTTCTTATTGTCTTACCTCATGTCTTTTTTGTTGTTGTTCCAGGACTTCATCCAGGACACCCGCTACATTTGATAGTCATGTTTCCTTAGTCTCCTCTTAGCGCTGCCAGTTCCTCAGACTTCCTTTGTTTTCTTGTACCTTGACAGATGGGAGGTGTACTAGTGAATTATTTTGTAGAATGTCTCTCAATTAGTGTTTCTCTGGTATTTTTTAAAAAATAACGAGACTTTAGTTAATAGAGTTTTTGGAGGACGATCACAGAGTTATAGCGGCATCTTCATTACATCATCTTAAGAGGACATACTATGAACATGACTTGTCATTGTTATTGTTACCCCTCATCACCTGGTAGAGGTCATACATGTCAGGCCTCTCCCACAGGGTATCCCTTTTCCCTCTTTCCGTGCTGTATTTTTTCGAAAGGAAAGTCATTATGTACAAGTCACACTTAAGGAAGATGAGTTATGCTCCACGTCTTTGAAGATGGAGTATCTCAATAAATTATTTGGAATTCTTCTGCTTGAGAGATGTGCCTATTCCCCCCCCCATTTATTTATCTATTCATTTCATTTTATGTCCATATGCATTCATGAATATTTATTTTATACTTTGGATTATAGTCCAATACAATTTTATTAATTTTAATGCTCAGATTATTTTAGCTTTGGCTATTGGGAGTTTTTTCCATTGGTGTCTATGTCCCTTTGACGTAGCCCCATCTCTCTCTCTCTCTCTCTCTCTCTCTCTCTCTCTCTCTCTCACACACACACACACACACACACACACACACACACACATTCACTCTTGTTTTCAGCATGTCTTTACTTTCTGGGACCATAAAATGCTCCAGGCTGATCTTGTATATTTCCTGCTGCAGTCCTAGAATCAGCCATATCTCCAAAGAACCCTGGTTCTAATACTATCCCCCAATAGTATTAGAAACCAAAATCTGGGCAGTAGGTATGCTCATTGCTATTAGACTGTTGTTGAAAACCAAGGCTGTTTTTCAGGGCTAAGTTTCACTGTATAGTCCTATTTGTGATCTATCCACTCAGGTTTTATGTCCATATCCAAAGTCAGTGTAATGAAGACATATGTATGTATCAGACATTGTTCTAAGGACTTTCTTGTCTATTCTCATTTTAAGATCTCTACATATGCATGAGAAAGAATGTATTTTCAACTTATAGAGGGAAGCCAAGTTACTTGTCTTAACTCACTTAGGCAGGAAAGAGATGGAACTGGGTTTAAAGATTGAGAATTTTTCATGGACAGCTGGACTTCTTATCTTTCTATTTGAGTGCTTAACCCTTTGGTTATCTCTATTCAAGGAAAGAATGAAGTAGATTTAGTAGAATTAGTGGCTTTCTTATGCTCTAATTATATTCACCCAAATATAGCTATACCACTCTTTTGTCTCAATAATACCATGTATATTATCATACTGATTCCATTTTTCCTTTTATTTCTGTTTGCCTTCCTTCATAATCTGGAAGATTTTTATTTAATAGTCTGCTATTATTTAAACTTATGCTTTCCGTATACTTGTTGCTGTATGGACATTTATTTGTATGTTTTGTTGAATTATGTTCTTATTTCTCACCAAGTGGAAGCTCTTTAAGAGAGAGAATTTCTTGATATTTGCTAACCACTGGAGGTCCAATGCTGAGCAAAGTGCCTGGTTAATAGTAGGGTATAAATATATGCCTGTTGATTTGGTAGGAAGGGGGTGAAGTGGCGTGGATGGAAGAAATTGGAGGAAATTGATGATTGTATTCTAAATCATGAAGCCCTAAGTAGGCAGGGTGTCAGTTTTCTCTGAGGTGACATTTAAGCTTGATACCTCAGAAAACAAAAGAAGTGAAGTATAAAGGGCAGGGGAAGAGATTGTCATGCATTCTGGGATCTTTCAAAAAAGCCAGTCAGTTGAATGTGAATGAGACCGGTCGGCTGCTCTGGAACCCAAACCAGGCAACTGGGAAAGGATTTTCTGCCCCCTGTTAACATTGTTTAAAACAAAGCTTCATAATACATTTGCTGAAGAGAGCTGGTCTTATTAGCTGACGAACATAAAGGTCAGAGTGGGCTGGCTGGTAGACCACTACCCATTTCAAAGCTGTGACAAGAATATTAAAAAGAAGTCAAGCCCTCACTGGAGTGGCTCAGTTTGTTGGGCATCATCCCACAAAGTGAAAGGTCACTGGTTCGATCCCTGGTCAGGGCCCATGCTTGGATTGTGGGCCTTACTGGGGACGCGTGCAAAGGGCAACCAATTGATGTTTTTCTTGCACATCTATGTTTCTCTCCCTCTCTTTCTCCCTCCCTTCCCCTCTCTCTAAAAATAAATAAAAATCTTTAAATATTTTTTCTTTAAAAAAAAGTGAAAACAAAAACATCAGCATAAAGAGAACCATGATAAACCTATGGCTGAGATGACTCATTATCCCTCCACATAAGCAGTTTACAGAGAGAGGAGCCCATGTGAATTTACATACGCTTGCTGTATACATGGTGTCCATTGCACTGGCTTTCTCCTGCGGGCCTTTGGGCAGAGAAAATGTTTTGTACTGTAAACACAAGGTCTGCTTCTGTTGTTGGCAAGCAGCCTTACTTTGTTGAAGTCAGACCAGCACAAAACGGTAAAGGCCATTATTTAAAATATCAATTATCCCTGGCTGGTGTGGCTCAGTGGACTGAGGCCGGCCTGAGAACTAAAGGGTTGCCAGTTCGATTCCCAATCAGGACACATGTCTGGGTTGCAGGCCAGGTCCCTGGTAGGGGGTGTAGGAGAGGCAACCACACATTGATGTTTCTCTCCCTCTCTTCATCCCTTCCCCTCTCACTAAAAATAAATAAATAAAATCTTTAAAAAATATGTCAATTCTTTTCATCTCATAGCAGTATTAGTGGTAGTAACACAGAGTCAATATTTCGGTGCGGTTGTACTGCCAGATCGATGTTTTGAGGAAAATGAGGGTGAGGGTGTAAAGGAGGAGTCAGAATTGAGGTCAAGCTCTTTCTTTGGCAAAAGCAGAAAAAGCAAACATTAAACAACTTAAAACCAGGCAATGTTTTCTTGGAAGGTGTTACTGTTAACGAGGCAAGAACTCAGAAAAACAACCCAGCTATATTAGTTTCTTCTTGCTATAGTAACAAACCACCGCACCTTTGATACAACAC